ATAACTTAAATATAAGTTGAGTACTGACTTTCATTACGACTGTTTGAGAACCACAATCTAAACATCACGACTATTTACTTGATACTTTAAAAATACTGGTAGCGCAATCAACACACAAAAAAAGCGGGACTAGACTGTCATTCATTTTAATTTTAATTTTTAAATTTCAATATTAGTATTTTATTCTTTTTTTTACTAGGGATAAGAACTCTGTGTATAACTTGTCGTAAGAAATGGCTGCCAAACTAAACAGAAAGCACCACGGTCTTGTGCTTAGGGTATTTTATATTTAATAAATTAATTACATAAAAATTTAATCATTCAAAATCATTTTACTTACGAACACTAAATATGTGACACGCCCTCCGGCTCAAAATTCAATTTATGAGTTATTTAACTTATTATACCACCCTCGAAATACATGTAATGAAGTGAAAATTTGAGAAATTTAGGAATGCAAAGAACCCTTATCCGCAAATCATTTGCAAAATTCGATAACCAAAAATTTCGCTATTTGAGAGTTCTAGGATATAAGACATTGTACAATATACTTAAGTAAATAAATATACATACATACATATTAGATTGTAATGCGACAATTTCAGTGGAATATTGCATTTTGTTTGTTAATTAAAAGCAAATTTCATAAATTGTGAAACGGTGATATTAAACAAATTAAAATCATTAATGTTTAATTAAATATTAAACAACAAATGAAATTCATTCAATAAATACATCACCCAATATCACTGAAATATATTAAACTTACATATGAGGGGGGACAGAAAGAAATATCCCAATATCACTGAAACATATTCAAGTTACATATGAGGGAGGAGAGAAAGAAATATAAGTTTCTCAATAATTGCAATTAGCAGATATATTACATAATTCAAATCGCAAGTCTTCAAAATCTATCGGTAAATAAAATGTAGCTATCTGAAATTAAGTTGAATTACTAAGATAATTAGATATAGTTGTATCCGCAATGCTAATGTTGCTGTCATATCGTTTATATTAATTAAGAATAGGCTGATAATCGAAACATGTTAGAAATGCGTACAATACACCAATCAAACCAAACCACCCAAAGTACTATATATGTCCAGGTAAGCATAGTAATTATATACCAACAATACATAAGTACATATAATTGCAGAATAGCAAACATCTCATAAACGATATCTTAAACAAAAATTAGTTATATCTGCAGCACAGCAAAAATATATATATAAACTGGCGTACGTATGTTTTTATGTAAATGATTTAAATGATTGCAATTGTTTGTCCCTGGAGGCGACTTTAAACATACGCAGTTAATCAGTTCTGAGAGCGTCTTGAGGAACATTACGCGAAAGGACAACTGCCAGCAGCATAGTAACAAACCATGGTCATTTCAATTTGGTGCCTGTACTTCTACTTGTTCCATCTTATATATCAGACGCATGCATATTTTGGACAAGTGATTTGCAATTGTGTATGCGTTAGTAAATATTCATATACTGGGTTGGGCGTGTATTACTTCATATTTGGATATGCTCACGCATTTAGAGATTAACAATCTTATTAGTGGAAATGCATTTGAATTTGGACAAACGCAGCCATTATGATGGCGTTAGTAGTTTCATGCAGTAGACCAGCTTATACCATCACAAACTACCTCATAGAAAACACATTCCGTACCTTATGTATTTAATAAATTTGCATATTAGTGCTTGTTTATTAAAGCCACACACTTACACACTCGCTAACTCAAAACTGATTCTTACTCATTAGCATTAAAATCTACCAAACGCTCAAATTCACTATGCGAGCTCCTTACATGTTTCTGCGATTATATATAAATATATATTATATTATTATGTCTACATATGGATACATATGCAATGCATATATAAAACGGAATATAAATACATATTTTGTTACTGTAAATACATTTGAATTGCATTAATCTATTCAAGTATTTCATATCAATGTATATCATTATAATTATAATTATTGTGGCATTATCAAAATTCCATAAGCTCATATATGAACCTCTTGGATTAAGTCATTTTGTGGAAAGGAATAATTATTTAATTTAAGAATTCATAAATTGTGAAAAACATATACATTCCATTACCATCCTTTTAGAATTATATTTTAATTTTAAATAATAAAATTTTCTGGCTTTTTTAAAATATGTAACCATTATTTTAAGTTGTCAATTCATTTTCATTATCCGAGTTCATCTTTTAATATTTTGCTTAATTCTTTGAAAATAAAAATGAACCTGAATCGAGTGATATATATTTATGTCAGAGGTTGAATTTCATAAACAGCTCATATAAGCATTTTGGGTAATCAGTGGGGTTAAATCTTACATGGTAAGAAAGTATTATTCTACAAACTAACTAAAAAAATTTGTAGCGGTATCTAGCTTAGTCCAATTTACATCAATGGCATTATTGGAACCTTACAATTTAATTTTTGTGTAGACGTATAAAACCTTTACGCTTGTAGACTCACTACGCTTGCTTGAAAAAGTAATATTGCATACGTAAATTTCTCAACTTAAAGAAACGCAGCATTTTCAGAAATCGATTTCAAGTGTCAAGTTGCCGTTGGTGTGTATAAGTCAAACTACATTTGTTTGATGAAAAATTCCGGATAATTTTTCATATATTTAATGTAATAAAACTCTAATAATAAAACTATAATATAATAAAACTCAAGTGGATAATTGTTCAAAAATCAGATTTCTAATGGAGTTTACCAAATCAACATATTCTAAAATCCATAACAATTTATCTAAATTTTCTAGATAAACCTAGCATACCTATCAAGGCTGGTTAGTAGCTCGCTAGGTACAATATTACTGTAACTTATTCCTTTCAAACAATTTTGAAAGACATTATATCACACTAAAATTAAGTCATGCTTAATTTTTCTTAGAAATATACACCATATTTAAAATTTGTTAAGATTTTATATAATATATTACCTCTTAATTACCGCTTTATTATGAGGTATTTTGTAGACTATATAATAATAAATCCTAATATATAATAAACAGGGGAATAAGAACTGTTTTGTAATCAAAGTTGTTGTAGTGATGAAGTGATACCTTCGAAAGCACCTTAACAGTACTGTCTTGCTTGTCTTGTGAACTACATTTTAATTAGGCTAATATTAATGGGACAATATGATGGAAAATATCATATGCTATATAAACTACCAGTTTGAATTCATGAACGGGTTTGATCTGTAGATATTTGGTTGAGGAGTTATAATATGAAAAAAGTTGAGCTAGAACTGCGTTGCGGGTCCAGGCACTTTCCTTGCAAGGAAGAAACTGCGATTTCCAAAAGCACCTGCTTCCAGTATGTGACGTTGAAAATCTTTAAAAATATGTTGTATAGATCAATTTTAATTACGAGTATAAAATCAGTGGGTATTACTAATATACCCTGAATAGTAAGTCACATTAATAAAGTTTTAATAATAAATTGAAATTGAAATTTAATTAAGACATTTATAAATCTAATTTTTACAGGAATTATTTATAATGTAAATATTTTAAAAATATAATTATCAAATATTATGTTTAAAACATATCTTTGAAAATAATGAAATTACGATTTTATAGCAACTGAAGATTAAATAAAATCTAAAACTTAAATATATAATCTTCAATATATATATATATGAGTATTATATGAACCTATATAAATGAATATTAGAAAAAAATGTTTTCTTTCTAATTTTTATATCACAAACTTTTATAATTTCTTTTATAACATTGTGTAAAATTGTTAATAAAAACTTTCACAGCAAAAGTAACAAAACTCCAGAAAAATATGCGAACATAAAAAGTCAAGTACGGTTTTGGATCAGTTGGTTAAGGTGTGCTAATTCTGAGCCTCACATTTGGCAGGACCCGAGTTCGATTCCTGGTACTGCAGTCCCAAAAAAAATTATTTACGAATAATTAAATACTAGAATTATTTCCAAGACCACTGATGATGCATATTTGGCAATACTCGAAACAGCTGTATACTCAGCCAAAAATTCAATTAATTAAAATAATATAAAAAATAAAATTTTTGTTGTTGTAGTTCACTACTGTTCGAAAAACCTCTCTAATGTGTAATAATGAAATTTGACCAGTAAATGAAGCTTATCACTTTATAAATTATGAATTAAGAATATTCTTGAAACATAAAAAAATGACAAATCAAAAATAGTTATTTAATAATATTAACTACTTTCTAAAAATAAATTAATAAAATAATAATTTTATTACATTGAAAAGCTTGTTCAAATATATATTTATATATGGAAGTACTTGACACATGCAAGTAATATATTTTCAATAATGTTTAATGTGTTTAATATTGATTATTGAGAAAAATATTCCTTGCATGTTTCAAATACTTTAAAAATAAATATATATAAAATATTTTTTTTCAATTTTATGTAGTCTGAAATAAATAAATTTTGTATATACTATTTTTATAAAAAATTTCATATACTTCCATTCAAATAAAAACTAATTTTATTGTAAAAAATTATAATAGTAAGACATATAGACAACGAAATGGTATATAGAGACTACAGACTACTCTAAAGTATGAGTTCACATCATAACATATAACTAAAAAAAAATTTTCAAAAGAAATAGTATGTAAATACTAGTAAATAGTTCCACATTGTTTATATTTTGTTAATAAATTAAATAAAGTAAAATAAATCGAAAATAAATCAAAAAAAAATAAGGAATAAAGAAAAAAGATTATAAGAATATAAATAGATAAGTGTATAAGGAAATAAGGTATAAAACAACATTTTGTAAATATATTTTGAATAAATTATATATTTAATGCTCATTAAAAAACACTCGGAAATTTAATTAAATATTGCAATCTAATAATATAATTTATTCTACAGATAATTAAAAAATTTTCTTTGATCAATGTTTATATATTTTATATAGAACGCCAAAAATTAGAGCTGTTATGAAGGATACCAAATTACAACAAATGCGGTGCGCAAACCCAAATATATTAGATACATGACGAGAAAGATCTAGTGAAAAGAATATAACATAAAAGCTACTAAAACTGATGTAACTAAATTCAGAGTAACAAGGAAACCAGGATGTATCAAAAACATCAATATTTTAGAATATCAGCTACTAAAGCACATGAGCTTAAGAAACTTGCTTCAAATTATAGAAACCATTACGAGGTAAGTTTAGACAAGTCGGTGGAATGGTAATTCAAATGTTATCATTTCGTGGAAGAAGAAGGATTGAAACAGTTGATCTTTCCAGATGAGTCCAAACACAATCTGTTAACAATTTGGCGAAGATTTCATAAGGTCAACTTATACGGTGTCCGTGTTGCCAAAAAAAAACGACTTAATAAACTAATTACCAAAAAATGGGTTAAATAGTATTGACTATTGAAAAAATTCATATCCCCAGATGAGTTAAAATTTAATCAGTTCGGCAAAGACTTCTTAAGGTCAACTTATACGGTGTCCGGGTTGCCAAACAAATTATAATAAATAGTCACTAAAAACACTTGAAATGGGTTAAATAATAACGACTATTAAAACAACCATCTCTCCAGATCTCAATCTGTTAGCAGTACGGCAAACTTCACAAGAGTCACTTACACAGAGTACTTTTAATAAATAGGTTCCGAAAACGTTTGCAATAAATAAAACAATATGTACTATTAAAAACCAATAATTTCGACAGATGAGTCTGAATTTAATCTGTTACATCCGATAGAGGGCTACTTGACTGCTTAATGATAAATACGTTTCGAGTCCAGACTCGTCAGCGCTAAGGATTTTAGATTTATGCTATAGAAGAAGAGTGATTTGTTCAATTGATGCTCAATATTCTAAGGTAATTTTTCAAGACTTGTATGATGCAATTATGTTAAGATTCTATAAATGTTGAATGTGAGATGACTAATATTTTAATAAACATATTTTTTATCTGTTGTTTTATTTCAGATTAAAGTTCTTATCATAAATGGGCATTTTAGCATTAGATACGCCTGTTTTAAATGCTACGCAAAGGCTTATTAATATGCTGACGATTCAAGTCAGAAAGAGCGCATAATTCACATTCTGTGCATTAAAATAAACCATTGAAAAAATATGATATCAAAGAACTTTAGCGCAAATTTCTAGACATAAAGCGAGCACCAAAAAATAATATACTTAGTTATAATTTATATTAATATTTTAATTACAGTGTGTAACAATTTAATTAAATAATAATTAATCATAGCCTAAACCTATTATTTACATTATTTGCATTACTAAACAGCATTTTTCATTTGATTTCAATATTTTTTTCTGTCGGTTCTTATTATAATCCATATCTTTAGATACATTTAAGCCATATTTACGTACAAGTCTCAATAAGATTAAACCTATATGAAAACACATTTAAACCAAGAATAAATAGTAAACATAGAAAACATACTAATTTTTTATTCAAAGCTTTTCATAAAGATAACGATATTTTATTAATACATATGTTATGTGTACGAGTAAATTAAATGTACATATTCAAAAATGGATAAATGTGAATCTATGCCCAAGTGGACAAGAAATAAACAAATTCTGACTGACATACATATAAACAGCAAGCTAGTCAACTTAAGATAAAAGTCTGCACTACATTAATGTGACAGACAAAGGAAATATTTAATCTGTAATGCACATGAGAAGACAAAATAAAATATCTTAGAATGCACATTGAACAACACACAACCCAAGAAAAACATTT